TATATATATATAAGCTTTAAACTTATTAATTATATTTAATAAAAATACTAGCTAATAGTTTAAATTAATAAAGTTATTATTATTTTAGCTATATATATCTCTTAAAAAAATAAAAAAAATAACTATAATAAGTATTATATATATAATCTATATAATAATCTTAATTACTATTATTCTATTTACTACTAATAACTATTTTCTAATAAAATAAAATATTATATTATATATCTAATAAATTATTTCTAAAGATTAAATTCTTCTATTTTTATATATATAATTATTAATATTAAAAGCCTGTAAATACTTATTTAAAATTACTAGAATAATTATTATCTAAGATATTCCTATTCTATAACTAATTCTATAAGATATTTATATATTATTAACTTTAAAAAAACTGGATTCTATAGTAGATATATAAAGTACTGTCTGGATAAGTATACTTAATAGGAAGCAGGTATTAACTAGTATAAATATTAATAACCTCACTATTAAAACTACTAATAGAATAAAATTAAAAGAGACCTCAGAAAAGCCAGCCTAATTTTAAGAGAAGGGTTATATATTATTATTACTATCAGGCAACGCCAAGTATACAACTCAGGCCTTGCCTCATTCCGGCTCATAGACACTATCACAGAGTAAGAGTCAGTCTAGAAAGAGCCTAGATGTTAAATAAGACCAGGGATCTCACTCTAGTATCAGTTTTGATATTAAATAGAATAGAGAATAAGAGTTATCGCTACCGCCTCGCAAACGAGCACATTAGTGGCTAGAAACATCATGAGGATAGCGATATAGCTAAAACTCTTCGCAGTAGAGCTGAATTGCCAGATGCCTAACTCTGGTCTTTCTGCTTGTCGCGCTATGTCATGTATCTAGAACCGACCCTACGGGTTCCTATAAGTCAGCTACCCTATTACTGGACCAACCGATTAGTGGACCACCCCCACTTACACGATCAACAAAACTACCCATCAACTTCAAATACAAATAAAACAATAACCAAGTAACTATACATCGTTGTGATTGGAACTTCACCGTGGCTTGACTTCCGAGCCTTCAAAGCATAGTCATGGCTTTCGGCCGACTGCTGTGTAGTTTAGCAAACATCAGCTAGTTTGACCCCTACTGGATGTGGCTACCCTTGCTCTCAATTTCACATCTGTACGTAGTATGTACAAGTAGTGTGACGGGTTGAGCCGCAACGCGCCCACCGCAGGACAATCGACCCTCGCAATTCCGCTGCATTTTCCGATGATAAACTACAGACACGCCCCCAAAGCTGATCGGGGTCAGAATTGGAGAAAACTCTCAATGTACAAACCTCGTACGTCTTGTGACCGATTGTGGAGCCGCACCGTATCACGATACGCGAGACTGTTGGTCCTTGCAATACCGCTGCGTTTTCCGACGCTGAGCTGCGGACACACCCCTGAAGTCTGATGCTAGAATTGAATCATGCTATCGATTTACTATGTGCTGGATAGCGTACGGCACATTCAATCTCAGGGATAATGTTCAATAGAGTGTGTATCCAGAATCTGATGATTATATTGATCTTGGATGCCTCCGGCCCCTCTTTTCTCAAGAGGGGTTTTATATCATCTCACGCCCCTTCTGACTAAGGTCAGGATATCGATCTATCAGAGGTTTCGTAATACAGGGTCATAATCCAACACTATGTGCAAACCCTGCATGCAATGTGGCCCGTTGAGAGGCCCACCGCACCTACAATGCCGCTACGTTTCCCGACGCTGAGTTGCGGAGATAATTACGCCTCCTAAGGCTGACTGCGATCAAAACTGGAAAATTAGTTCTTCACGTTCCTGTTTGGCCGGCTGAATATTTCCGACCACCCCAATGCACCGCCTTGCAGTAGCTCCTGCCATCATGTCGGTGGAGCGAGCCCCTGATGTCGAGTTCTGGGGTATTCACTCACCCCCTCTCCTCTTGCAGAAACACGAATTCCGTCAGGTTTTCCGACGTCAAGCAGGACCAGTATCCACCCTTGGACAACTTTGAAATGTCTCCGCTCCAGTTGGGGCTCGTCAGAGCATGACTCATAAACACCCTGGGGAGCGCAAATAACCTGCGCTTCGTAGCAATCGAGCTGCTCCTCTCTAATCAAGACAACTTTTGGCGACATATTCATAGTCTCTACGTTTTGAAAATGGTAATAGTTCACGGCATCTCATCTCAGGAGGTCCAAGGGAGAAATAACTATAAGAACGAAACCGTCTTTCGAAGGAATTGCCTTCCTGCGCGAGCCTACTACATACCCGAAGATTTCTTGTCGTTAAATGGCAAGTGGGACTTTTATTATGCGTTGACTCCCCTCGAATCTACTGGTCTTTAAGCCATCCTCGATTTTGAAGCGCCTCCAATATCGTGGTCTAGCATTTATATCCCCAGTTACTGGCAGCTTCAAGGCTGGGGGCACCTATCAAAGCGACTGAAATACCTCCGCCAGAACTGGCACGACGATTGGCATGATAGTGCGATCAATAAGGCCAGGCAGGTATGGAGTCAATATAAAGATCTTCCCGTTGCCAGTGCTCCAGAGGAGGCCCAGGAGATCCAGATGACAGCAGATGATAAGCTGGCGCAGTCGCTCGACGTAACGGAGACTCATAACTATAAGAATAAGCTGGAGAAGTTTATTAACAGTTCTCCCTACAAGATTGCAGTTAGTCCCCTTGCGTAGTAGACCAGAGAGGAGCAACAGATAGAATACCCGCGGCTGCATAAGATGGCTATTAACGTTCTCTCGATTGCACCTATATCGGACAAGGCCGAATATATTTTTTCAGATACTCGTCGTACTGTTTTATATAATTGTGTATGCCTCGGGGCAGAGATAATTGAGATGACAGAGTGTCTTGGGAGCTGGAATAAGAACGACCTTATTCGAAAGGTGCATGTACCGCGAGCTGCTGCCACTTAGGCTGAGGATTATAGGAGCGGCGAACACATTTGGGCTGAAAGCACAACTACGTTATATCTTGGCAGTTACTGATAAGCTAATCAATCAGTATCAGTCGCATGGTAATCAATCAATCAGTATCAGTATAGGCCTTATCAATCAGTACTGCTTGTTGAGAAGTCTGGACGTCTTTGTCATTCCGGCGATGGCGACTGACTGCGAGAGACAGTTCAGCCTAGCCAAGCTGACGCTAACATCTCAAAGGCTCTCAATAGGCGCGGATACGCTAGAGCGAGTTCATTGCCTGAGAAACTGGGTCCGACACGGCGGGGTAAAGCTAGGCAGTTGGGTAGGTAATTGAGACTTGAGGTCGGCGAAATACCTTCACATACTAGGCATATAGGTTGCCCTTACAGTTGATTGAGAGGGGCCAATCAAATCAAACAAATCAACTTTTACCCCAAAGTTGATTTGATTGATTTATGATGAGCGCTGGGCTGTAGTGATGAGGCAGCAATAATATCAAGTGGTCGATTGCGGGACAACTGTGGCCAGCCCGTATGTTGCAGCCATTTAGTGGTTTCGCTCTGCTCAATGTCCAGGACTTGATCGGGTCCGGTTTCTTGAAACTGCATTTTGAGCTACAAATGTAGGGGAAGATAATGCTGGTGAGTTATTCAATTGATGATGATGATGATGATGAAAGTGAGCTACAAAACCATCTGCTTGGGTGCGTTAGACTACAACTGCTCTTTCGAACACGTAAGGAACGCGTACACGCGACGCGATTGTTGAAATTACTTTCTACTTAATCATCAACAGCAGTAGAAAATAGTTTAGCATGACCAAAGGTGCAAAGATTGGAGAGAAGAAAAAGAAAACACAGCAACGATACAGGGGCAGGATTGCAGCATCCAATCAGAAAGCAGATCGTCTACTTTGAAATGAAAGATGGGTCGGGGGCGTCGTGTGCGAATCCCCTTTCAACTGAAAGGGGATTTACAGGGGTGTGGACCAATGAGAGGAGATGGAATTGCCCTTTCAATTAAAAAGTGAGAGCCCATAGGGATGTAGTAGCAGAGTCGGCTCGCTCTAGGCATCTCGCAGCGCAGAGGGCCACCTCCCTCCTACATGACGACGCGGCCAGACGTTTCCGTTTGTGATTGAAATGGCACTTCCCAAGAGCTGGAGGGCTAACAGCTGAAACATTTCTTCACACAATGTTAAGTAGCAAACTCGTATTCTACGCTACATAAATAGCCATTCCACTCTCACATGTGACTTTCCCATCATGAATCACTGAGAACCGGGCAGACCACCGAAACGCTAGGCAATGTCTAGCCTAAGAATTATTTTCAGATGCATATTTTATCGAATAGTATGACCGGGTGGCCTTAGTTTTACTTTCGACGCTCGAAGCATAATGTCGACCGTCGTCACAAGCATATCAAGTCCTCGTCATAGCAATAATTAAGCTTAGTTTAATTATCACATGGCAAACCATAATATATAAATTTCAATATCAAAAGATAAATTCGAGAAATAGACTTTGCATAACATGCTTAGCGTAGATGCGGAGTGCAAAACATTCTAATTATATACGCAGTCAGTCACCTCTTTTGCAGACTCACTAAAAATCTTCCCTTCATGATGCCTCCTGATCTCACCATCACCATGGTCTCGTCTTGGTCAATGCAAGCTGTGCTTACTACAGGTGATGGCCTCGTAAAAAGTCTACTCATTCTCATTTCTCTTCCCCATTGGCTTGCCGATCCCGCTCAATTGCCATGGTTCGGAGCTTACCGGCCATCATGTTGTATCCACTAAAGTCTGTAATGGCAATGAACAAGCTCAAACGTGGCTGGCTGTACTACAGTACCAAGGATGGTCTCCACTGAATGTTTCGAGACGATTGGTTTTTTTTTTGTGAAAGTCTGTGTTCAGTTGAAAAGTGACACGATGTGCTGACCGGATTCTGCATCTCCCACATGCCTGGCCAGCGACATGCACGGAAATCCGCCTTGAATTGTATTAAAGCAGAGTGAGTCAGATAGCAGTAAGTGGCGGAAGAGGACCACTAAGGATTCTCTGCGTTATTAAGGTTTTTCAGCGCGTCTGAAGGTGTGCATAAATAATTAACCTTAGCGCCTTCCCAGCCGGACATAGTCAACTGGTCGGCCATATCGCCCTGGATGGTGTTATAGTAGCGGCTGAGTGTCTTATTCTCCTCTCGAATGCTTTATGCAGTTCTCGGCACATTGCAGCTGCAGAGCGGCCGTCTCATGGAGTCCTCTGTGAGGCGGTCTAGGCAGTCACCCTGAAGGTTAGCTCCCTTGATGAACAGCTGCACGTGATGCTCCTAGATTCCAAGAAAGCTAGTCTACGAATTACAACTGGATTGGTATATATAAGGCGTTAGGTCCCTCAGCTTTACTAGCCGTATACTAATAACATACTGCAGCGCCCGCATAGCTGATACCCTCTGCTGAGCGCGCTCATAATTTCCCACACCTCGTTGGATCTTTGACAACCGTCTCGCATCGCCTCCATGCCTCTGAACGGGCCCTATATCGTCTGGAAGGCCCAGCCAGTCGGATGGGATACGAGAGAAGCCCGAGGCGGTGACCTCCGGAGCCCCCATGGTCAACTCAGCTTCGAAGATGATAATGGCAGTCACACGACTAACATCAACGTTCGGTCCACAGACCCCGTTGACCATCGCCTTGTCTTCTGGACCGGCGACCTGACAACCGAGACCCCTTTCGGGGCCCGAATTATTCGGGGCCTTGAAAGTCTCAACGGCCGGAGGCACTACCAGATGCCCCCACCCCTTGACTTCCTCCACGATGGCTTCCTGAGTATTCACCGCGGTATCATCCGTGATACCAACGCGCCTGGACCCAACAACGACATCACCGACGACCTGGATACCTTCTTCAACGCCAACCTCGAGGGCTCGACTGTGTTCATCTGGGGAGAGTACTATGCCAATAACGGCGAAGGGGTTCACCAGGTGCACATGAACCAGGGGAACTACTCCAGGAACCCTGGGTGGTACCGTGAGAACCGCCGTGGCCAGGACGGGGGCATCGTCATGCAGTCGCCCGACGGCAAATGGAAATACTTTTTCATAGCCTTTGCCGGGCAGGCGTCCGAAACAGACGAGGACGGGCGCCCGACATTCGGCGAGGCGACGCCGATGCTGCGCGACGTCTTAGGCGCTCCGCCACCCATCACGCCCATTCCACCGGTGGTTCCTGGACCGCCGAGCGGCGTGCAGATCCATTCGGCCCTCGTCAACCCCCTCGGTCGGGACAACACGCCCGGTCACAACGACAGAGTGAGGCTTGTCAACCGCGCAAGCGACCCTGCCTCGCTCCTCGGGTGGACCATCCAAAACCAGGACGACAGGGTGAAGCATCTGCCCGACGTGCTGCTCCTTGGAAACGGCGCCATAAGGGACTTTGATGTTGGGCCCGAGAGCTACCTTACTAACAACCGAGACGGCTGGATCGTCCTCAAGGACGCAGGTGGCGCCGAGATCCACCGTGTATCATACCAGGCGAATGCCCCTTCTGGGCAGTGGATTACCTTTCGCGCCCGCCCGGGCCTATAACTCGGTAATCTTCTTCTATTATTTATTCGTCACAGACTGGGCTTATTGTCATCAATCCGGTCGAAAACCCAGACGAAGATCTTGCTTCTAGGACTGCAGTACTTGAGCTACAGGAGTTTGGCTATTGTTTCGGGCTGCGTTTGTTATTATTATTCTGCTTCGGGAGAAGCCGGCTGATGACGAGGTCTTGCCTTGGCTTGAACAAAACAGCCTCGCAGGTTTTGAAACCCTCGTAGTGCGCAATTGCCAGAAAGGGCCAGCATGCGAGTGAGCTGGGCTTTGGATCGCGTCGCTTCGCCTCGCCTGGGTGGGAGAAATATTGCTTACGCAGTAGTTGACCACCCATCATTTAAGGGATGTTAAAGTTGGATAATGGAGGGCCTGCATGTGTATGTATGCCGTATTTGCGGATGAGGGTGAGTTGAAATGAGATGTGGCAAAAGGGCGTTAATGACGACGTGGAGAAAACCAGAGTCGGACCTTATTATAAACGATTCCGTGCCAAGGCTGCTAAGAAGATAATAAAACTCAAACATGGCGAATAGCACTTCGTGGATGAAGTTAGCCAATTAATTCGACGGGGAATATCCCTGAAAATTCGATGCCTGGTGTCATTCAAGAGCTCGCTGCCGCGGTACGGAGCAGTAGCCTAATCGGTCGACCTGCCGCAGCTATCACCAGATGGTCCTCACAAATATTCTTAACGTAACCGTCTAAAAGTTGCTATTTTTTTACGGCAATGCCGATGCTATCTGAGATTTTGCATCGTCTGATCAAGAGTGAATAGAATTTTGAAAGCCTCAATTAACGCCGACTGTCCGTCTCATTCATCACCTTCCTCTGCAGTGGCTGTAGCGAGGCCCTCTCTCAGCATTGCGAACGGTTCTTCCACCACTTCGGGTTGCATCTCCTCCACTTACTCTCAAGCGGGTGCACGATAATCTTGTCGACATCAGCCGCCTTTGTACCGTTCCCGTTGGACAGCCCGCCGATCGTCAGCGTATTCGTGCCCTTGGCCAGATTCACCGCCACAGGCGAGGCTATGATGATGCCCTTGTGAGAATGGCGATGACTGTATCGCTCTCAAGGCGAACTCGACGAACATCTTGCTTGAGAATCTTACTTTCATCAAAGGCCAAGGCGTTGCGATTGGCAGCATCGGGCAGTACGACGGCCACTATGAGACGGTGAATCGCTTCACAGCGCGAAACATCAAGATGTACAGGTCCAAAAGCTGATCAATGCGACGACGAGAATGATGACAACGATGATAATAGTCAATACGACGATGATCGGAGATTTATCAACCACCCTCGTCAAAACCCGCCCGTTCCTGGAAAATCGATTGCTATACTTGAAAAGTATCTTGCCCAGGAATAGACAGCGCATCCAAGCTGCTTGAGCAAAGAACATAAAGCAGGTTATAGTAGCTTGGCCAATACCAGTCGCCACTACTCCTGCAACTTCCTGGAAGATATTATCGCTCGACTAGATGGACTAGTTAATAATAACCACGATTATTATCCGCTTCTATATATTACTGATCCTTCTTCTGATCTTCTTAATCGTACTTTATACCTTGATACTATCCTCGATAATAACCCTTCTATAGATGCGTAGTAGCTATTGAATTCGCACTTCTGTAATTTTCGAGGAGCTTGTTAAATTGCTCTTAAAGGATCCTCCGGTAACAGTTCACCGCTAAGCCTTTGCCTCCCGACTAAATATCATCTCGCCCAGCTCTTTACTGATAAATTTATTTAGAAAACCTATAATATTAATAGTATCTATAGTTTCCCCTTTTCTCTAGCTGTTAGATATCTAATAGTACCTACAAATTTATGCTATTTTTAATTATACTAATAATATATACTTTAGTATTAATATCCTAAGTAATATTTAATTCTAGGGGACTTATTATTAATAATAACTTCTATATTATATCTTTAATTATTACTTAAAATAAATCTAAGAGTTAATTAATATATTTATTTAGGTAACGTACATGATAAGCGAGTGCACAATACAAGCGAGTGCACAATTTTTCTTCTAACCGCCCTCTTCCCTCTTTTAACTCCATTTTTTCAACCACGCATTATGTCGTCAATAAGCAATGAGGCAAATATCAATCTTGCCCTTCAAGCCCTTCAGAAAGACCCTCAATTAACTCCCTACCGCGCCTCAAAGATCTATAAGGTCTCTTGCCATACTCTACTACGCCGACGCGCCGGCATTACTTCGCGACGCGATACTATGCCCAATTCGCGTAAACTATCTGATCTAGAGGAACAGACTCTTCTTGAGTATATTCTTGACCTAGATTCGCGAGGGTTTCCCCCGCGACTGAGCGGTGTGGAAGAAATGGCCAACCGATTGCTCGCCGACCGCGACGCGTTACCTGTCGGCAAGCGCTGGGCTTCTAACTTCGTCAGGCGACAACCAGAGCTTAAGATGCGTTTTTTTCGTAAATACGACTATCAGAGGGCTAAATGCGAAGATCCAATTATTATTCGCAATTAGTTCCGGCTTGTGGAGAATACAATCGCGAAATATGGTATCGACCTAGCCGATATCTACAACTTTGATGAGACCGGCTTTATGATGGGCATAATCGCAAGCGGAATGGTTGTTACAGGCGCAGAAAGGCGTGGAAACCCGAAATCAGTTCAGCCTGGAAACCGGGAATGGGTCACGGTCATTCAGGCGATTAATGCAGAAGGCTGGGCGATCCAGCCATTTATCGTGGTTGCAGGCCAATATCACCTCGCTAACTGGTACCAAGAAAGCAACCTCCCGGGCGATTGGGCTATTGCAACGACTCAAAATGGCTGGACTGACAATAAGACGGGTCTTGAGTGGCTTAAGCATTTTGATCAGCATACAAAGGATCGATTGATCGGTCGCTATCGTCTTCTAATCCTCGATGGGCACGAAAGTCACCACTCCGTCGACTTTGAGAAATATTGTGAGGAGAATCAGATTATTACGCTTTGTATGCCGCCTCATTCGTCTCACCTACTTCAGCCTCTTGATGTCGGGTGCTTTGGGCCGCTTAAAACAGCCTATGGTCGAGCAATTGAGCAATTGATCAGATGCTCTATAACCCACGTTTCGAAGACCGAGTTCTTCCCAGCCTTCTACGCTGCCCACGCAGCCGCTATGACAAGGAGTAATATTGAAGGAGGTTTTCGAGGAGCTGGACTTGTTCCCCTAAACCCAGAAAATGTCATATCGAAGCTTGATGTGCAGCTACGGACTCCAACACCGGCTGCAGAGGAGGTCGGCCTCCCCGACCCTTGGGTCTCGAAGACCCCAAAGACAGTGCTTGAGGCCAGTTCGCAGTCTGAATATCTTGAAAGACGAATGAGAAGGCATCAGAGCAGCTCTCCAGCATCAATTCTCGAGGTGCTTAAGTCACTTTTAAAGGGAATAAAGGCAATAATGCATCAGAATGCTCTATTGAAAGCTGAGAACCAGATCCTTCGACAGGCAAATGAGACTCTTAGCAAGCGGCGCAGAGCAAAGAAAACCCGCCTATATAAAGGAGGGAAGATGACTTTAGATGAGGGCAGGGGTGAGATAGATCAGAGAGACGTTGATGTACAGGTAGCAGCTGAATCGTTGAGAAGTAGTGGTCGAGGGAGGTCAGCGATACCGAGGGAAAGGTGCTGTGGAACTTGTGGAAAGGCCGGTCATAATGTAAGGACCTGTCAGACTATAATTAAGACCTCTGAGGAAGAGCATAGCGATTAGTTTTAATTGATTGATTGTATTGTTGTGGTTTTATTGAGGTTTGAATTTTAGAGGTTAGGAAAAATTGTGCACTTGCTTGTATTGTGCACTTGCTTATTATATATGTTATTCTTTCTAGCTTTATACTGTTATTATAAATATACTAATTTATATATATAAATTTACTTTTTTAAAGAATAAGTTAGCTACTCTATTACTAGATTAATCTATTAGTAAATTACTTTACTTTAAGCTATATTAATTATAGTATATCTCTAGCTATATATATTTCTTTCTTCTATAATATCTTATTAGATAATTTAAGCTTTTTAGACTCTTTAATATACTTAATTATAGTTAAAATAACCTCTAATTAGCTTTTCTTAAAGTTAGAAATAGTATCTTAATATAAAAAGTAGCTTTTTATTATAATATTTCTTACTTAACTCTATATAACGTACTTGATAAGCGAGCGCCGCAGACAAGCGAGCGCTGCACTTTTCCTTACCCTCAAAATTAAAACCTCAATAAAACCGCAACAAAGCATCAAATAAATTAAAACTAATTGCTATGCTCTTCCTCAGAGGTTTCAATTATAATCTGACAGGTCCTTGCATTATGACCGGCCTTTCTATATGTTCCATAGCGCCTTTCCCTCGGCAGCGCCGACCTCCTTCGACCACTACTTCTCGACGATTCAGCCACTACCTGCGCATCAACGTCTCTCTGATCCATCTCATCCCTCCCCTTATCTAAAGTTATCTTCCCTCCTTTACGTAGGCGGGTTCTTTTTGCTCTGCGCCGCTTGCTAAGAGTCTCATTTGCCTGTCGAAGGATCTGGACCTTAGACTTCAATAATGCCATCTGATGTATTATTGTTTTTGTTCCCTTAGTGAATGACTCAAGCGCCTCAAGAATTGATGCTGGAGAGCTGCTTTGATGTCTTCTTACTCGTCTTTTAAGGTATTCAGACTGCGAACTGGCCTCAAGCACTGTCTTTGGGGTCTTCGAGACTCAAGGGTCGGGGAGACCGACCTCCTCTACAGCCGGTGTTGGAGTCCGTAGCTGCACATCAAGCTTTGATATGATATTTTCTGGGTTTAAGGGAACAAGTCCGGCCCCTCGAAAACCTCCTTCAATATTACTCCTTGTCATGGCGGCTGCGTGGGCAGCATAGAAGGCTGGGAAGAACTCGGTCTTTGAAACGTGGGTTATGGAGCATCTGATTAATTGCTCAATTGCTCGACCATAGGCTGTTTTAAGCGGCCCAAAGCACCCGACATCAAGAGGCTGAAGTAGATGAGACGAATGAGGCGGCATACAAAGCGTAATGATCTGATTCTCCTCACAATATTTCTCAAAGTCGACGGAGTGGTGACTTTCATGCCCATCGAGGATTAGAAGACGATAGCGACCGATCGATCGATCCTTTGTATGCTGATTGAAGTGCTTGAGCCACTCAAGACCCGTCTCATTGTCGGTCCAGCCATTTTGAGTTGTTGCAATAGCCCAATTGCCCGGGAGATTGCTTTCCCGGTACCAGCTGGCGAGGTGATATTGGCCGGCAACCACGATGAACGGCTGGATCGCCCAGCCTTCCGCATTGATCGCCTGGATGACCGTAACCCATTCTCGGTTTCCAGGCTGCACTGATTTTGGGTTTCCACGCCTTTCTGCGCCTGTGACGACCATTCCGCTTGCGATTATGCCCATCATAAAGCCGGTCTCATCAAAGTTGTAGATATCGGCTAGGTCGATACCATACTTCGCGATTATGTTCTCCACAAGCCGGAACCAATTGTGAATAATGGTTGGATCTTCGCATTTGGCCCTCTGATAGTTGTATTTACGAAAAAAACGCGTCTTGAGCTCTGGTTGTCGCCTGACGAAGTTAGAAGCCCAGCGCTTGCCGACAGGTGACGCGTCGCGGTCAGCGAGCAGTCGATTGGCCATTTCTTCAACACCACGCAGTCGCGGGGGAAATCCTCGCGAATCCAGGTCGAGGATGAATTGAACAATGACCTGTTCCTCTAGATCGGTTAGTCGACGCGAATTGGGAATGGTATCGCGTCGACACTGAATGCCCTTCTGTCGGCGACGCAGCCTTCGCTCATCTACTTTGTATGTCGATGCGGCGTGTCGGATACTTAGTTTTGGGTTATTTTGAAGGGCTTGAAGGGCAAGAAGGGTTTTAGCTTTGTTATCTTGCTGAGGTATGTTGAGTTGTTGAGATTTGCTTGATAAAGTAGAAAGTTAGGTGCAGGATGGAAAAGTGCGGCGCT